ATGGGTATATATGAGGCCAAGAGCTTGGCCTCCTGCTCTTCGAGGGTCATCTACAATCAAGAAGCATTATGGTCCTTGCAACCATAAGCATCGGTGTGTGAAAAGTGCAAAGCTGAATTGCGAGTCAGGATGCTCAGGACTGCAGCCCTTGTCTCCAAGAGTTTGGCACATTCGTTGGTGCAGAGAAGCCTTGGGAGGAAGCAGAGAGCTGTGCCTGGGCTGCGTCAGCACCCCGGTCAAGATCCTTCCTTCAGCTGAACGCCCTACCTGAAAGCAGAGAGGCTGGGACACAGCGGGGAGGAAGCATGTTTTACATGGGCTTTGGTGTTAAACCTAGATTCATCTTCCAGAGAAGAAACGTTGCTTCTCAGTCTCCTTGCTTCTGATACCACATGGATTTCCACAGGCCATTTATCAAACCAAGTTGGACTTGCGCAGACAGAATAAAATAAGCTTCACAAAGACACATATTGGCATTTCCAAGTTTGAGAGATTCCCTTTTAGCCTGAAAATATTTCATATTTCCTGCAGAAATCCACTGGGTTTTGCCTTGTTTAAACACTGTGGTGAAGGTGGAAGGAATGGAGACAAAATAATCCCACCAAGCCCCTTTAATCCCTGCCACGGAGCCAAGCGATGTTCACTCCTGAGCTTTCTTTGGAACTTCATTTTGCTTTTTAGAAACCACTGGCAGTCTTTCGTTAATCAGCAGGTGCATCTCTCTCGGAAAGTATTTCCATCAGATTGGAGCAGAGATTTGGTTTTAATCCCTTCGCTCGCATAGCCTTGTGACACAGACACCACCCTGCCTCACTGATACTGAGAAAGAAGTAAATCTGCTGACTAGTTAATGTACAAAACATTTTTTCTCCAGTAACACCTTCCTTGAGAAAAATATAACTGTTTCCTAGGCAATAAAATGAAATAAAATAAAAAAAAACCATTCAGGTGTTTCGCCTCCTGGGCTTTCTTGGGATCCCTTTTTCATTCCATAACTGCAGTAATGCTGCTGCTGCATATATACTGATTCTAAAAACTAGTTTCAAGTTAATGCCCTGATATTTTGCAACAGCCTACAATTTCTTTACTGCTCTTTTTTAAACCCTAAACATGATCATATTCTCATTTCTTGCTGCTTATGAGAGGGCCACAGAGCAATATAGCTCTATATAGCAATAGAGCAATATAGCTCTATTCAGTCCCAGCTGAATAGAAATATCTACAGTCTAATGTTAGCATTGAACCTTGTACCTCTAGACCTCGAGAAAATAATTTAATTTCTGTATTTTAATTGTTCCATACTTAATAATTGTTTAATAGTTTAATCACTGAAATAGAGAGTGACTAATTAGCAGGAGGGGTTTGATTTCTCACTGGTATAAAAAATAGCTCTATTCAGTCCCAGCTGAATAGAAATATCTACAGTCTAATGTTAGCATTGAACCTTGTACCTCTAGACCTCGAGAAAATAATTTAATTTCTGTATTTTAATTGTTCCATACTTAATAATTGTTTAATAGTTTAATCACTGAAATAGAGAGTGACTAATTAGCAGGAGGGGTTTGATTTCTCACTGGTATAAAAAGGGAGGGAACAGTTCGGCTGAAGATTTCTCACTGGTATAAAAAGGGAGGGAACAGGTCCAGGCTGAAGATAAAGAAATTATTCTAAAGGCAAATTCCAGTTTGATGCTGGTGTAATTCAGGAGTCACTGTAGTGAGCTGATTGGTGCAAGTGGGATCAGAATTTGGCCTGATTTCTGTAAAGAGTTTCGGAGTCCGAATTCATGATCCTCACACATATCTAAAAGCCTGCCACATCCAGGTATGCCTCTTAATCTTATTTTGCAGCAAATGACTCCCGCTGCCTTCACTGGAGTCATTTCTGTCTTACACCAGAGTTAAGGGGGTCAGACTGGTGCGTCGTGAGCAACAGCAGCGGTCCCGAGCACTGCATCGTGTATTCTGCATGGGTTCAGGACGATGCAGCTTGGGTTGTCGTTTGGGGTTGCAGTGAGGTCCTTGAACTCCATTTTATCGATGAGTTGGATGAAAAACAGAGTAGAGGAGGCCAAGTTATCGGGCCAAAGTCCTGCACTAAGCCACTTAAATGAGGGCCTGATCCAAATGTCATCGTTCACTTGATTGCTCATATCCCCAGAGTGAAAAGCTCTGATTTCACCACTGACTCCTCTGTTCTCCTGAAATATGAGGCCAACACAGCTGGGCTGGCAGCTCTGCGCTGCCTGCATCACTAATATTGCCATGCCTGTCACAGCAGGTATATTCAGCACATTCATTTAATCTCTCAAACACCCTTGACAGCGTAACGGCGATGTGGCTGGATGTTCAGTGATGAAATAATTGCAAGTAGGATGCCTGGGGGCACTGTTCCTGGCATGCTAATGCAGTCAACATTCTTTGAAGGAGCCCCTCAGTTTAGGCTACATCCCATCCTCACGCTCCCGTGCAGAATAGCTTGGTGGTGAATGCCACGGGCTGCAGAAGGCCCTGTGGCATGGGTAAATAACCAACTCAATTTTTCCCTGTCATGTCTCTAAAAGGCAAGCCCATTCCTGCTGCCTTTGGCATATGGTTGATGCTGGCACAGGTTAGCACAGGGCTGAAACGGAAGAGAAGCTGTTGATACAAAGCAGAAGGTCCTCCTGCAAATGGCGTTACGAGCACGGGGAGAGGAAAAGGTGAAGAACAACAGAGTGAAAATGCACAAGGTGTCTCATTGCTCGTGGCTCACAGACATTGACCTTCTGCTCCAGCAAGGCTGCCTAAAACAGATGGGAAGGGTTTCCCTCACATCTCACAAAGGAGGTTGCTGGTAATGGTGAGTCACTTATGCTCAACTGCTTTGTGCTGAAACTCCTCCTCTGCTCGTCTGGGACCTGGGATTCAAGTTCACACCTTAGGCACCTCAGTGGATACACTAACAAGATCAGGCAGTGCTCCTCTGCAGCCCACCAATTTTGCTGGGCATAAATAGCTACCGTGGCAGATGAAGAGGGTGAATGACTTTGCAGCTTGATTAATTGAATCTTTCCCAGACTGATGGTGCTTCCAAATTCTGAACCAGTGAAAGGAAGCATTTTACACCATGGAAGCTGAGAAAGAGCTTTCCCTTGCTTCTTCTGGGCTTACTTGCAGCTAGCCATTCACCCGGTGAAATGCAGAGCCGAATCAAATTCTTGCTTTGAACCAGGCACAGGAGAAGATACTGGTGGGAATTCTCCAGCATCTTCTGTGTGAGTCCTAACCCAGGTCTGAAAGCACTCACCAGAGCAGCACCAGCACCAAACACAAAGAGGGTCCCTGCCTCTGAGAACGTCATGGGCGTTTCAACGGGGACCTTGTTCCTGGGGTGTCAGGGCATAAGGGCTTCAGTGCAAGCAACGTGGGGAAATTTTAAGCATCCTCTTAGTTTTTCTGGATTTTGGGAATTAGAGAGCTGCTAAGAGAGGATTTTGATGATCTTATGGCATGTCAGTGCTGGATTCTAACCGCTAATGACATAGTTTCAGTGTAACGTAGCCATAACAAAGATGGTTTGCACCTGCCTAGCCTGGGGTCTCATCAGCACTTTAATTCCAGGACCATGAAGCTCATTATGACTACCTTCACAAATATCTACCTATCCTCTTAGGTTTCGCAGGCTGGGTAGCCATGGCTACACTGTGACAGCATCTGAGCCAGCTCACTGGAAACTCATGAGTGCATGTCTACCTTTCAGGGCAGTTGTATCGGAGTATCTCATGCCCCTTACTGACTTCAGCCCTGTATGCTGTTCTCAGTCCCGCATGTGGAGAAATACTTTGGAAACATCGAGCTCAGATGATAAGGGGTATAGCTCTGGGGAGGGTTACAGCGTGGAACAACCACCCTCTCAGAACTGAGGAAGGAACTGGATGTCCAGATCTGCAACTCTCCTCCTGGGCTCAGTGTGGTTTGTTGGCAGTGAATCACAGATGCTTAAAGCAAGCAAACAAGCAAAACGAACGCCAAACCCACCAAGTTAAAGATGCTTCCCTTCAATGAACTACACTTCACTCTGAAGAAAAAGAAGTCCAGGTGCTGTTAGTACCTGGTGGATAAGTCGAGATCTCTGAACTCTGAAAGAGGAGCCCACCTTCCTTTCCATGTACATGCATTGGTGACCCAGACTCTCCTTCACGAGGACAGTGCTATGACATGTTATGATGACAGCAGCCCAACTGTTAAGTGTACACCTGAGCTGGGCAGGGATTTCCCATGCCCAGTGTAAAACTGGTGCAACCCCATTCCGTGCAGCTGGGTGGGACACCAACGTAAGCATCTGCATCCTTATGTTGTCTAACTTCTGACTGAGCTTGGGATTGCGGGGATTGTCTCAAATGCAGTGCCCGGGCATGCGAGCTGCATGTGATGCCCTGCGAGCCGCCAGCCTGGCATGTCTGAGCAGGATTTGGTTTCACCCCTCTCCTTTGTGCCTCCACCAAGAAAAGAAAAGAAAAAAATAACTATTCCCTTGGCTTTAACAGGATCTATGTGCATTCTTCAAATAGGGATTGCCCCTATATGGAAACTAATAGGCCTTCAGAAAAGAGGTAAAATACACATGCACGTCTTAAAGATCTAACAATGCCTTCATCATAGGATGAAAGCTCCCCGTAAAAGCTGAAGAAGAAATCAATTTAATAGCTCCTTCACTCCTTCCTGACTCCTGGAGTGCCAGTTACGTGCTGAGACAACCTTGTTCTGATGAAAGCAATTTTGCTTGCTGCTGTGATGCTAATTTTTTCATCTGGAGAGTGGCTCCTTATGGCGGGTCTGATTCAATTAAGGATTACAGGGTTCTACATCTCCCTTTCCTGGCAGTGTGTGCTAAGCAAGTGCAAACGAATTACAGACCAATTGTTTTCCCCTGATTCCTAATGATCCTGGGTGCGTTAATGCACCAAGATCTATGAGCGAACTTAAAAAGAATGAAAAACACAGCCGTGCTCCGCTTTTGGCATCTGTACCTGGTTTTTATACATGCAAATCGAGTTTCCTGTTCATTGAAAACAACCAAACAAAACACGATGTCATGAACATAGCGCAGAGAAGGGCATTCGCGCTGTTCCTTCTCAGCGACCTGCTTTTCCAGAGGGCACCCAAGGGTGCTTGGAAAGCTTTTGCTAGCAAGGATGGTGGGCAATTAGCAGAACACACCACAGCACTGTGGCATCCTCTGAGGGGCTTTCCTGGTGCTGCAGCTTCGTCTTCACACGTCTAAAATGCAGAGGCAGGGGCCGTGCGCTGGCCTCTCCCCTTCCTGCTCATGTTCCTCCTGTCCCTTCTCCCCATGTCCCTGACTCTGTCTTCGGTGCCTTATCACCACCTCTTATCAACGGGACTTTTGGCACATTCATATGTTTGGCATTTCTTTTTTTTTTCCTGCTTCTTGCCTCCCTCTCTCCTTTACTGGCTCATTTTTGAAAAAGTGCAATTTATCTGTTTCAGAGATGCCAGTTCTGGTAAAGCCACCAAGGACTCAGGCTCTCCCCTCCTTTACCCCCCCTACTTCATTATTTATGACACATCAGGATCTCCCAGGCTCTCCTCAAGTGACTGGGACCTTTACTCATAGTTACCAACCCCTGAGGCCTTGAAACTTAAGAGTGAAAAGTCTGAAAAGAGGCAGAGGGAAAGTATTTCTCTGCCTCTTGTTCTGGATGCCAGTGGCTTTTCCAGTTTTGTGTCCTCTGTTGGCTCATGCGGAGCATGTAATTTCACAAGGGTTTGTCATCGTAGTGCTGATTCCTGGGGATCCTTCTGTCTCTCAGTTTCTCTCTTGGATGCTCAGTGCTCAGAGAGCCTCTCCCCATCACACCAGAGAGAATTCAGCCTGGAAGCCGGAGCACCGGCGTGTCTTTGGTGAGCACTTGGTCAGCATGGAGATCTGGGTGCTGAAGTTGGTGCCATTGCTGCCTAAGGAAGGGTGGTGATACTTCATGTCCGAGCCCAGGAACCGCTCCAGATGCCACCTCCGCCACTTTCGCTTGAGCTCAGCCTGGACCTAGGTGGTGGAAAGACAAGCAAATCAGCAGAGGCGAGCATTTTCCATTGCTCTGACTTGATTGTGTGAGTAGCAATGGGTGACCCACCTACCAAGGGGCTAAGAATTATTTTATAAAGGTCACTAAACTCAACCTGGCCAGAACTTGTAGCCACATAGAAGAGAGGTCGCACTCCAGCCAGTGAACTACGGGAGCAGAAATCCCTGAGCTTCAGCAGAAAGCTGAGCACAGGGAATTGCTTATCTGATACAGTGAAGGCATCAGATACTTAACTTTAATGGCAACATATGCTTTGTGAGTATAATTAAGATTTTTTTTTTTCACTGCCCTGTTTTTGTCCAAATACAAATGATTTAACTATAGCTTGTTTGTAAAGCTGTCAATACAGCTGTGCTTTTTTGATAGAAGCTACTTATTCCTGTTCAGGGAGTTTACATACATCATCTGGTTTACACTGTCCAGATTCAAATCCTGAACAAATCTGGCCACCGTCCCTGTCCCCTCCTGCAGCCTTCCAGTGCAAATTTTTAGATAACAGTATGAATGAGATAAAACAGCTGTGTCTGAGGGTCTCTGGGATCAGCAAGCACAGGAATAGTACAACACCAGGATGCAAACCCCAGGACTGGAAACGTGGGAAAGACAAGATTAATGCCTGTAAGGTAGAAGCATGTTACCTGGCACTGGTCTGTGCCTAACAAGTCACGTTAATGCCTATATCGGTTTTGGATCGTTAATAAGTTTGTGTGGTTCTGTCCTGCTCTGCGCAGGCTTACAGGCAAAGGTCTCTGCTGGAGCTGGGCTATCTGCCCTGCATGCCACTGCGTGATGTGCACATGGCATCAGCAGGGCTGAAAGCAGCATCAGAGCTGTAAGAGAGCAAATTGTGATTCTGGACACTCTTCCTCCCCCCAGGAAGCTGGAACACAAACCCAGATCACAGCTGCTTCTTTCTTGTCCGTGCTCAGTTTATTGAGCTGAAAGTGCTCCAGCTGACAGCAGCTCCAAGTTTTTAGTTGCTCACACCTACTTGGTAGCCTTCGCGATATGGCTTTAACCAGTCTCTGCTGAATTTCTCACGGGCAGACGGAGCATGGTACAAAAATATCACTGCACTAACGAGCCTCCATCTTGGCAGTGGGCCTGATTCTGTGGAGGATTCACTGAGGCGCTAAGCATGAGTAGGGCTTAAAAGATGGGCTTTATCCTTCCCTGCTGAAGGTGGTCCCTTCGGATCAGGGTTTATGCAAGGTCATATGGGGGTTCTGCTGATGCTGTTTCATGAGTAAAGGAAGGACTCAGCAGCAGAAGTATTATAGTCCACACAAAAGTGCTAATATGTTTAATTGTGCTGGAAGCTGTCAGGCAAATGGTTGAGTTGTTTTTCTGGAGTGAGAGATTTGACGTGGAAGCTTCCCGCCAATATGGTAACATCAGGAATGGGACACTTCTCAATCCACTCTCCACAAGCATTCAATTTGCCTTAGTTGCAAACATGAACCAAACGATATTGTTGATCTTACCTCCCCATTGAGAAAACAGTACAGAACAGCCACCACAAACCCCTAGGGAAAAGGAGAGAACAGGCTTTTAGCACCTCATAGCTGATATTCCCCTAGATCACAACCCAAACTCACTGCAGCCTTGGAGGAAGGGCACAGTGCTGGGGGACTGCTAAGGTGCCCCTTAGAAACCACTTGATTGCATTTTTCCTATAAAATGAGCAGGGGAAGATTGGTTAAGGTACCTTGCAGCAGATGTATGGCTGTGAGTTCAAAGATTGCTCCAGACTGGTGTTTAAAGCCATCAGGGGTCAGCTCAGCTCTAACAGGGGCACTTGGTCATTCAAACTGGGGCATTAGAGGCAACTGGATGGGATACTAGACCCAGCTTTCCTGCTTGCTCTTTGCAGCTGAAACTGGGGAGATGTAACCGTGCTCTCTAGTACATCATCAAGGTCAGAATGATCTTAGACACAGTATAGGGCTATACTCTTCCTTTCCCATCCCCCCTGAAGTGAGAACTCATTTTTGAGAATCTCAGCTTTCACTGAAAAAAATAAAACAAACTTATCTCTAGCCCTTATGGTTGCAAACACTGAAGACAAGAGGTAAGTGTAGGTCCATTTATCTCTCAAAGGAGAGATGCCAGATGCGAAGTGATAATGATGTAGACAGGGACGTTAACTCATTCACCACTGAACAAAGCGTGCCACTGACACGTGTATGGTACATGGTGACAGATAGATCCTGCTTGCAGGCTGTGAGAACACAAAGTGACTACAGCTGATTAATGGATGGATGCAATGGGATGAAATACATCAATAAGTGCTTCTTTTCATGCAACAGCAGGGCCAGGGTTAACAGCCCAACATGGGAACTGACTGAAGTGAAGTGTGTGGGAGGGTCTAAGAGCAAAATTCATCAGGGCTTCCTGAAGATTAATGCAGAGGACAGCCCCATTATCCATCCTCGTGGGGAACCTGTCTCCTATACCAATGAACTGGAATCCTGCTTGAGCAGGATCTACAGGCAGGACTTGGCTTATTAACAGAGGAGACAGTTCATGCAAGTCAACTGGTTGAAGACAGACGAGGCTCCTGTTAATGGCCAGAAAGACATTCCTTCCAAAGGCAATTTATCTTATCTTACACCATGTCAATAATATATAAACTGAACCGAGGTGCTCATTTTTCTCCCTTAAGTACAAAAAAACCCAGGGTTAATAACTTATAGAGGTACATTTTCCTTTCAGGTGCCTAAAACGAGGAGAGAGAATCTCCTTCTGGAACTCCAGGAGGCAAAATATACCATTATCTTCCATCCTGGCCAAGCTGGAGTGAGTAGCTTTTTCCCCAAAAGGTATAACAGCAGTATTGCGCATGTCCAGGAAAAGCCCAGCTCACATGCTTGCTTATTCCCTTGTCATGCTTGTTATACTTCTCCCTGCTGATAGACCTGGTGATTGACCGGTGGCCTAAAGGGTGGCTTACCTGGAACGACCCAACCACAAGCTCAAAGACCAGCTTAACTTCTGCTTTGAAATTGTCAGGGAAGAAAGCAAACATGATGTAGTGAATGCCAAAGAGAGGGATCAGCAGCAAGGTGGACTTGGCCAGCCTCCTGTTGGAAAGACAAACATGAGTCATAACGGGAGAGGGAAGAGGAGCTAAAGGGTAAGCTGATGAGAAATCCTGCAGCTGAGCCCTGTGCAACCCCGAAACTTTAACTTGCTGCAGTACATATTTGCTGATTACCTGGATGATGATGGTGTAGCCTGTATCATGCATGTTAAGTACCTTTGTTTGCCCTTAGGAGATGTGATATGGGCCACTTACCCCGAGGTCTTGGGAACATCCAGCCTTTCAACAGCAGCCTCGAGTGAGGCAGCATCAGGAGGCTGCCCTCGCCCAGAGGGAAGATGTGTCTGGGGTAGAGGGAAAGGGAGGGAGTTGAGATAGCTCCTCACAGCCTAAAGTCCCCAGGATCCCTCTGATGACCTGGGCTGGGATGCAACGATATGTGGAGCCAGACCCTTGGCTGGGCACAGTCAGTTCACGCTAACCAAGGACCGTGCTGGGATCATTTCCACAGGCTTGCTTTCCTCCTCATTAACAGCTCTCATATAAATATATATGTGCCTCTAGCTGAGGCAGAGTGATCAGCCCTAGATTATTTCTCCTTGGCCTGCAGACTGCAGATGGCTGGTGATTTCAGATGTGGTGACAACATAAAATGTGACATCTTTATTCCCGGTAACTTCAATGGAGGTATTTCTTTCTCTCTTCTTCCCCTCCCACCGGAGATCTTTTTTATCTCTACAAGCTAAATCATCATCTAGTGCTGTCTTTGTTTGCTTGGGATTTCTGAAAATTACAGCTTCTGGGAGAGAAATGGTATGTTTAGCTCAGAATAATGACAGGCTATCGCACAATGAATGTCTCCAAAGGAGGGAGATGAACAGTATTAGTGCTTAATGGCACCAGGCTGGGTAATCACAGGTCTAATTAGGAAGAGATGATAATTTATTAAGTCTAATCATTATTAAAATATAGTTGACAGAAATAAAATGAAATCAAGGACTTAAGGATGCTTATGGGGGTTTTGGCTCCCTTGGTCACCCATATCCTCCCATGTCCCCCTCTCCCAGAGGCTTCTGGAGGAACTGAAGCTAAGGCTGGGATGTTGGAAATACTTGTTCTTCCATCTGCAAACCCTTCACCTCCAAAGTCCCATCAGGCTCAGTCCCCCCAGACCATCTTCATTCATTTGCCATCTGCGTAAGCCCGCTGGGACGGCTGATGCGCCAGCTTTATGCAGATGATGCTCATCACTGTATCTCCCAGCAGACCCTTCCAGCTTTCCCTGGGCCTGGCCCAAAGACAGTTTGACTTTAAGGCTGTGGTTGGAGGCTGTGGTTCCCCAGGGAATACCTGGTGGCTAAAAAGCACCTGGCTGCAACTCATTCCAGGCAAAACGAGTGCCTGTAGGAAGCCGAGGAACTTTCCAGGAATTTGCCTTTCCTACCACATCCCTCACTAGCGGGCACATACCTGCTCATAGTGAGCAGATCCAAAATCTGAGCCGTCTTGGATGTCTTGCTCTGCCAGAGGACTGTCACTGTCATTGGTGACCATCAGGGTACCATGTTCCTCCCTGTCAGAAGCAGCTCTGGCCAGTGTGACCCACACTAGTATGATCCAGTCCTAATTCCCCCAGCTCCTGACATACGAGAAAGCAACTAATTTTTTAAGGAGATCACAGTTCAATGAATATTAATACTGGTTTTGCAGAGGTCCCTCCTCTCTCCCCAATCTTTCAGCAACAAGTCAACCTAGAGGAGATCGATGTGATGCTACCTTCACGTACCATATTCATAGAGAGGCTGTTTGCAACCTCCAATGGATTAGAAAATTTTACCTTATCACTGAAGGCAATATCGGGGCCTCAGTTATAGCATTTTCCCTCCTGGCTGGACTGTGGCAATAGACGGGGCATAAATGCCAAACCTTAGGAGCCCCCTCCTCCGGTTTGCACAACACCCCAAACCAGTCTCTTGCTCCCAGCGCTGAGCTTCCCCAGAATATTGAGTGATGTTTTAGATCTCAGTTTGGCTTCAAGGCAAGGGCCCTATGGTCTAGTCCTGTGATATTTAAAAGACTTCCCCCCTAAACACTGCAATGAGGAGAGTCATCTTCCCCAGTCATGGTGCAATTTCTCCCAGGAAGCTAAAGCCTGGCTGTGCAGGAGGCAGAACTGCTTGGGAGATTGTCCAAAGCTGTTTAAAGCTACCTGCTGGAAGCCATGGTTTCTCAAAGAACTCATTACTTCCACCCCCAGCACAGGTAGACCTACCCTCTCTGACAGATATACATGGTGACAGATAATTTAGGGAAAACACGTCTCCGCTAGCCTGCACGGAACCTACTCCTCTCCTTGGGAGTGGATAAGAGTGAACCAACATTTTAGTCATGCTCCTTGAACGCATAACGGAAACGTTACCCAGAAAACTTTGATGATAATATTGATCTGTGAACATGTACAAAATAGAAAGAGATTAATTTTGCTCAAGATTTCTGTTGCAGGAAACAACTTCTATTTGTCTGAAATATTGCTGTCCCATTGTTGCATGCCTCTGTCATTTCCAGAAGACTGTTCTGGGAGACTTGTTTTCACAGTTTCCAATACATTAAAGCCCGGATCACTGTCTGTAGCATTACTGAGTGAGTCAGCAGCGCGCCTCAACTTCCAGCCTGCAGCTAAACTGAAACCGGTTGGAATTGAACAATACTGCCAACATGTATGCCCTGATTTTTTTTATAAAATAAACAATATAAAATAAACAGGAGAAGGAGGGAGAAATGCAAATGAGAGACCCCTGGTATTGTTAGTTTAAAACATACTTATTTCAGATTTGGCAGGAGGAACCCACACATATCATTAGCAGCAGGTTTTTGCTAAGATCTCTTGGGTCCTACAGGCCAAACCCCTGAAGCTAGCAGCAGCATTTCAGGTAATAAGGGAATGACATGTAAAAGAATCCAGGTACCTACAATTGCAGATCACATGCCTAATGGCATTTATAAAAGGGACTGGACCCCAGATGTCTCTACAGCTAGCTGTCTAAACATTAAAAACTTAGGACCACACTGAGAACTCCCCTCGGTGAGATCCAGCCCTCAGATTGGGACACTTAATATTCATTTCCATAGGAAAATGCGGTGTTCCACTGCAGTCAATACAGTCAACAGAGACTTCCAGGTGCCCCAGAGAATCTGGCTGGTGGCTAGCTGCCACTGTATAAGGGTACAAGTCTCCCATAGGTTCTGGGTCCTATATGCTAGGTCCAGGCAAGTATCTCAAATGTCCTAAAGCATCTCATATGGCTTGCACACCTATAAGTGAGCAACTGATTCATGCCCTAATGGAACGAAGATATTTTTCCAGGTGGAGGAGGAAGGTGAGGGACTGAAGATGTGAAGATCGTTTGTACTTCAGCAGTGCCTCTTGTTTGGCAGGCCAGTGGGGGGAAGTCTGTGTTACTTACTGCCCTGGCGTGCTACGTTTGTTTACAAGGCTAAGAGAGCTTTCCTGGCAGCTCCCAATTCATTGGAAAATGTGAAGTAAAAAGCCCTGAACCCAAAGCTCAGCATGACCTCCGAGGTAATCTGGGCATAACCCTTCCGATACGTGTTGGCAGCACTTCTGCTGAGATGAATGGGAGCCAACTGCTCCAGGCTGCTGCTAAGTACTAGAACATATTTCAATATGCTGATTTAATCTATGTACCTGGCCAAATCTGTTGCGGTCCTGGGGGTACAAAGATACAATGCCCAATTGGAAATACATAAAGGGAGGTGACAGAAAGCACGGGGTCTGGTAATGTTGTCGTGTTACGATGACAGAAAAAGAGGTAATTGGCTCTGGCTGCTGCAGGGAGAAGTTAAGGTCAAATACTGGAATTTCCTTTCATAAATCTGAGAATCTCTCGAGGTAGATGAAATGCATAATTTACCATCACCAGAGAGAAAGACTCAGTGTCATGGCTGGTCAGTATTTAAGGACCAGATTGATATTGTCTTCCATCTTGCAGAAAGATGAACTGAGCTCAGATTCTTCAGGGTACCAAAGTGCACAGCTCCCTCCAAAGACAAAGAAGATTTGTGAGCAGTGACCATGTAGACACTGGACTCTTTTCTTTTCAGTTCTTTTCTAGGAAACATTGAATAAATATCCAAGACAGTTGAAATGCTGAGCCAGGACAGTGGCAAGAGTCAAAAATAAGCTGGTCTGAACTTTTATTTTGTTTGTATTGAAGCCAGAATAAATCCATGCAGATAGACAGATATCTTGCACTCTTAAAATACTGCAACTAAGACCAGTCTTGGCCACTGAGACAGGTGCTGATCTCACTTGCATGTTGTTCATTATAAAAAGCCCCGTTAAGGTCAACCTTACATCCCTGGAATAAAAGCATTACATCAAGCAAAACTTCTGAGACAGTGCTACTTTTCGACAGTGAAGAGAAATGCATTGAATTAATCCAACCTAGTTTAGGGGTCTGCTTTAAGATAAGGAAAATTTGCCACAGTTTCTACTGAATGTACTAATTTTCTAGATCTCTCCTTCTTTTAAAAAGGGAGCTGAGGGTAACTAATTCAGAAAAAAAGCCTGTATACTGAACTACTCTTTGTTCTCCATAAGGGTCCCTCTGCCTTCAGAATCCAATAAATATTTAATATACAAAGAAAAATCCTATTTTGTTTCATGATCATTACTGTTGCTCTCACTTCTTCATCGTTAATCCCAGGAGAAAGCCTTCTTGCCTGTCTGTTCAAACTGACATAAACCATGCCCAGCTGTTTTAGCAAATGCCCCATTTCCTGATTTCTGATCAGCTTTAATCAATTAACAAATAATTGATTCTGATCAGTGCAGACAGATGCAATACTGAACTAACAGCCAAAAAGGTTTCCCCAAAACCATACAATACGGTTAAAGAAGTCTAGGACTTACGAATATTGGCTGGTTTCATTGTGTCCAACGTCTGGGGAATGCAACTTCTGGACTAAGATACGGATGATGCAAATGAAGAGGATGAAGTTCACCTGTTGGGATGGGTAGAAAGGAATCAGAGAAATAAAAAATTAGTATTTTTGTCCAGTGAAAAGAGTCGATCATTAGAGGGGAGTTCCTTTCACTGCAATATATTTGCCATGGAGCAAGCTGTTGTTAAAAAGCCATGAGCGGAGAACCCCACTCTGGGAGCACATAGTAAACCGACACAGGATGGCAGCCATCTTGGGCCTGACATCAGCCTGCTTGGGACTTTGTGTCATACATCCCAAGTATGATGATGTCAAACCCATAGAGCACAGCTATGCACGACGTCCTGCTGCGTGGGGGAGTGCCGACGACAGGGTGGGAAAAGAGCCTTGGGAGTTAGCGGAGCGACGGACGTCAAAGCCCTCGGGAGACGGTGACATGGGACCGGCTGCTGAGCATGTCAAAGACTGAGGTGGTGAGCCAAGGAAACCAAAAACACAAAGCAGTATCCACTCAAGCAGGCCTCTACTGAATGCTATTGGGCATGTCTTCTCTGGAGAGAAGCTGGACACCTTGTATAGCAAGGGATAGACCTCACCGACACAGCGGAAAACATTCTCTCCTAGGGCGTTAGACCAGAGGAGTCTAGCTAATACCTAGATTTTAGATGGTGTTTTTCACTCAGAAAATCTCAAAGTGCTCCACCAACACACTCAAGCAATGTCAACCTTATTTAATAGCAAAGGTGTAGAGATAGGAACAGCAGTTTCCTAAAGGCACGTAGTAGATGGCATGAGTTGAATGCAAATCTACTTGCTTTTAAGGTCCTATCCATTGAATCACGCTGTTATTCAAGCAACATATACAATAGAAAAGCAATGACAGATTTCTGTGGACTTAGTTTAGTTTTAGTTTGGCACACAACCTCTTTCTTTATCCTTTCATGGTTAGCGAATGCACAAATGATTCTGATTTTCAGAGACTCAATGGCTGGAAGGGATTGTGTTAACCAGCCAATCTGATTTCCTGCAAAAACAGATTGTAAAATTTCCTCCAGCAGTTCCTACATGTATCTCCACAACAGGTGAATAAAGTCGACTGAAACACATCTCTCAATTAGACACTCACTCTTTTTTCAAAGGCTATGAGCGCTTGGAAATTAATTGTATTTCTTGGTTATGATGCATTGCTTAATAACTTTTTATCTATCCCATGCCATTTATCATAGTTTCTGTTAATATTTATTTGCTTATAAAAATGGTTTGCATCTGACTTGGTGGCAAGTAAAATTTATCAGTTCAAAACAGTATTATCTACATCAATTACTCTAATGAGCATTGATAGCACACAAGCTGCAGCACTGAAGGTAAGATTGGAGCCGTTAAATACTGACTGTGTTGGCTCGTAGTGGTCAAGAGCAAACACGGACACAGGGCAGTGATGAGTCAGGTGGAGTATGACTTAAAGGCCTAGTACAGTCTTAGCATTGCATGGTAGAAGATACGGCTATCAAGCTACTGGAGGAGTTGTTTAGTTTATTTTTCAACCTAGAGTATATCAAAGGTGCTTGATCTGTTCCCAGTGCTTATTCCCTTATATTTTACATATCTTACATATCTTATATATCTTATATATCTTATATATCTTATATATCTTATATATCTTATATATGTATATCTTCCTTCCATTGAGATCTATGCTTTATTCCCATGGATATGGAGAAAATGTTGCATTCCTCCCTGAAGAAACCTGCTGTTCATCAGATAGCTGTTATCATGCCCTTCCTCTGTGCATGATTTATGTGATATCTGCAGAAGGAAAATCAGAAATTGCTCGGTAAATTTTGTTTGGCAATGAGGAAATAATTTATTGGCCAAAAGAAAACACAGACTTATTGATCTGAGGAGAACAGGGTGTATTTCTTTACCATAAGGTTATCTCGGGAAAGGGAAATACTATCTATAGCTTTATATAATGACATAAATATTTTGAGATGTGTCATCTAAGTATTGTATTTCTTTTCAGTGAGGTGAATAGAGTAAGATGTAATTATTCAAACTGTTTCAGTTTGGAACCCCTGTATGACAAATGCTACAGAAAAAAAGTCTTCTTGTAAAGGTCATCATGTACGTGGAATAAGACGAATATATGTCTAAGAAAAGATTTCTGTTTAAAAGAGATATATTTAGTCTGATTTCTGTTGCATTCTTTTTCCTCCCTTCCCACATACTTGCCTTCATTTAAGAAAACTCAAAGCTAAGTTTAACTCAAGTTCATTTGATTTCAAGTTTTTGGCTTGATACGTGACAGAGGAAACACGTAATATTCAACAAGGATGGAAGGACTCAGAGTTCCTCAGAAGTGTCATGGTTTCTATGGTCAGAATTGATCATATCCCGAGAAGTAAGAAGTCAAGCACTTCTGTTGATTTATCTGGAAATTAGCCAAGCTTCTCAAGAACTTACTTTAAAAACACATAGCTGGAATCCAACTTTGTACTGGATGCTATAACAAGAGGCAAATATCTGGGGGAATTCATCTAACCTCTGTATCTAGGTAGAAATTTATGGCAGGACTCATCCCATTTTACTTTATAGTGTTGACATCTACAACTGAACAAGTCATCCCGGGCTCTGCATATGGTCAGCTCAGAGAAACAAAAACATTCATGGCACAATTCATCTGATCGAATTTAGATATCCACTGATTCATTAGACAAGATGAGCCTTTCCTGGATCTCTAACCATGTTCCTCAACCTCCTCTGGCTACACACACCCACGGCTACTGCACCAGAGTGCCCAGGGTGACTAGCTGAGATGGAGGTGGTCAAAGTTAAATCAAATGAGCTCCAGCTTGGTTGTTTAGACACTCAAGCTCTTCCCAAGGTCAATGCTTAAAGGTAAAGATGTTTATCCAGAGGGTGAGCTTCCTCATCCTAAGACAGACATTCAATATACAGCTGGATTTTATCTGACAACGCATTTTCCATGGACATTTACAGAACACTTTGCAACACCCCTTTACCCCCCACACTTAGTATTAAAGATGGCTTTGCAGCCAGCAGAATGTGCTGATACTTTACCAAAATAGACACCAAAATAGGAGTTTTAATGATCCACCAGAATGGGGATTCCACTATTTCCTCCCAGCACCTAAAAAGAAACAAAACCAGACTTAAAACATCAAGTAAAGCAAGCAAGCAGCTATGTAACCTTCTCAGATACTTGGTTTCCCTAAATGCTAAGGATGGCTATGCTAGGTTATATGAAGAGGACTAAACCTGGTGTGCATGAACTGGAAAGGGCTGAAGACTTGCTTTGCAGTGGCTTTGAGCACTGGTAGGTAGCAATTGCCCCAGATATAATCCTGTGAGCTCTTTTCCCCTTGGTAGTGGAATGGGCTGGAGGATGTTATCTCAGGGTTAATGTAGGGGAGGATGGTGATTCACTTTGTTTCTCCTACACTGAGGTCTGCTACAAGGAAATGCTATCAGAAACCACAGATTCATGAGGCCTCCAATGTTATCCGCCATCATACATGGGGGTTTTGTTAAGCACAGAGCAATTGGCACCATCAGAAAAAAAAACACATGCCCTTCTGAAAAAGATGACAGACAGCCTATGGTGGGATTAGTCAGACTAAATCTAGCTAGCTGCTTCTGAGCTATGCATCTAGTCAGACAAGTCCATAGGGTCCATGGTGTGATTTATTTAATCCTGAAGTCAGAATTGTCTGCAAACCACACCACTCACCTAGGTCATCTGGAACTATATTTTAAAGCCAACAAGGAAATGACAGAATAGGAATGACGTGGGAATGACTAATATTGCTTGGGACACATTTATCTGCAGACCTCACAAGAGACAGGTGATCAAAGGTGCATTTTTAGGAGAGCGTTCATGAAAATCAGTCTGCATTCATGTTTGAAGTAGATTAGTGGAACCCATTGTAGACAATTTCACCTGGATTCAGCTCATCTAATTCAAAATGTTGACAGCGTAAGTAATGGTAGATGAAGAGAGGCACTTTTAGGGCACAGTTCCTGAGACCTATTTTAGGCATCAACTTTAGGATGAAAAGAATTGCACTCCATGGACTACAACGACTAAATCTCCACTAGCTATAAAACGAGACTAGAGTGAATTGCTCAGATACAGATGCTTATACTTAGTCAGGTGCATGCTACCCTTTCACTTAGAATTAAAGTGGCCCTAATTATGTCTAGTGCACTTCATTTTTAAAGTAAATTCAGGCAGTCTGAAGGAAGGTCACTTTAATTGGGAGTTAGAATGTTTAAATAGAGGCTTAATGTTGTTTAACCAATCTTACATAATTAGGTTTTATTTAATCTGGATTAATTTCCTGTAATTTTTCTCTGTAGGTAATTTTAGTATGCCAAAAAAATCTATGTTAGGTATTAGCATATCCTGTAAATTCACACTCTATCTTACTTGGCACAAAAATGTAGAGCTTTAAAGCCTCCAGAAAATGCAGAGAAGTCTGTATTTTTATTAAGAATTGCTGCAGCTGAGTTGGAATATATAGTAAGAATAATTGGTATCCAAACCGGTTAAATCCTCTGGTGTCTATCTCATTGTAGAGGCTATTTATTAACAGAGTAAATAGGGTCAGTTTTATGCAGATAGAGTGAAACCGTAAAAAAAGTCAGTAGCCCTCAGGAAATGTGTTAGCATGACTATAAATCAAAAATGCAATGAGAAATCTGAGCTGCTTCTCTCACTGAAATAAGGACAAATCAGGACACATTTGGAGAGGGAGAATGCACGGGAGAAAAGGGAGTTAACCATATACTGCAAATGCAAGAAGCGAGGGCATGCACAGTGAGTACATAATAAGCACCTGATTCTGTAACTCTCTGGAGTGTTTTCCCATAAAAGCCTTTCCAATTACTGTAGTTTGACTGCTTGAGTAAAAGCATGAAGGAGGATTGCAGGATCAGATCCTATTTATTTGCATATATCCTTGGATAGTTCTGATATCTACCTCATTTACTTAGCTGTATTCTATCTGCTTCTTATATAAAATATCAGAGGCTGCTGCTAGGTTAAAAAGGATGAAGAACAGATCCTAAGATCTGCCTGGGGGAAAAAAAAAGAGTTTTTAGACTTCTTCTGTGGGAGAGCTAATGGGTGTGTTTATTAAGTATCATCTGCTGCATGAGCATATTTAGGGTCAATCCTGCAGGATGCAAAGCTCTACTCTGAGCATGGGGCAGCTGCTCAGCTGGTGTCTTTGTTATACACAGGATCACGGAGCCAAATGCGACCATCAGGGTCTGTTCACAAATTCCCTGCAAATATCCTGACCAAGGGATTGGGAAACAAAGAAGATGAGTGACTGGCCTAAGTTGACGTAAACTGTGTGTCCTCAGGGAAACCTTGGAGCGTTTCCCGGTTCACGGCGGCAGGGGAAAGCCTCTGCTCTGCTCTGACTGCCGTTGGGGTTAGGGCAGGATGGCTGGGTTACTAAAACTGCAAGGCTTTCCTTGGCCTTCCTTGGAGATAAAGGAAGGAAGAATTAAAAAGGAAAGATAATTGAGTCCACAGGCTTACCCAACATCGAAAAAGTAAATCCTGACAATAGTCCAAGCAGTGATGAACATGGAGGGTGCACCTGACAAGAGAAGAGATGGTGTTACTCTCAGAAATCATTATCAATGTTTTCAGGCCTGTTCTCTCCCACTCTCCATCTCTCCTGAGTGACTGAGGTGATGCCTTCCCTCAAGAGTGGGCAAATGCTTCACGTTTTCAACGCTCACATGCCAAACAAGCAACATGTTGCCTTTCTCTCCCACTGGCCATGTAAGATGAGTTTCCTGTAACTGCTCCCTAGCAGATTTATCTTCCTGTTGCAGTGCCCACAACAAAACTCCTGATGGTGAAATACAAGGAGTAGGAATCACTTTAGACATCTGCAGTGTGGACACCTGTATCTAAGCCAGTCACCACAGGCTCTCTTTAGCTTCAACGGGGAGAAATATGTACTTCTAACACACAGGTCATCTGAGCTACTTTAGATGTTTGCTTTAGGACAAGAAATATGCCCTTGGACTCCCTTGACTGTATTGCCTGGACCTCCACTGGCCATAAAGGGAGCCTGGAATGACAAGTTCACATGTAGATGTGTGTAGCTGGCCAGATGAACCTGCCTCTGCTCCTCACTCTATGATCTTCTGCCTGACTAGGGTGGTCTTGTTCCGTCCTTGTGGTGCCTCTTTTCTCTGTCTCTTGTCTTTGATTAGATTTAGATTGGAAATACTCCAGGAAGGACATGTCGCTTTGTTCTGCGTTAGTCACAGTATTGCGTGTTGTTTATTACCAGGGATTTCTGAGTGCAATGGTAACAAAACCAGTAAGAACTGTAATGAGTGCGTCCAAATTATTAATTCCTGCATGATCCATTTCAGATCCATCATGGATGCTCTTGCAAATGATGGATGGCTGAAAGGCCAAAAGATCCTTCAAGCACCTGTCATTTTCTTGAATTGCCCTTCCTCACCCAAGCAACCTCAGAATACATTACGAGTGCAAGAGATTTCCTTTGATTTAAAATCATTAGCTTCATACATTTTTCTTTAAAATCTGCCAGCTCTACTGCGCTGAAAGAAAGGGTACCTATGCACAAGGCAGGTTTAAAGAAGGTCTGACCTGATTAACTGCATCTGAAACAAGGCCTGCTAACATCATCTCTTCTTATGCTTATAGCATGGAGAATTGTCTCTCTTCTGCAGCGTGAACCCAAGCGTCACTTCTGTCACTTTCGATGCAAGTTACTCTATGGCTAACTGATCAAATCCGGAGTCCAGGCATACCCCTGTCCATGACACAATTTTATTTTTATTTTTCTTTTCAAGATTCTTCCCCGCTCTAATTATTTCTCAGTTTCAGCTATCGAGAGCATGCAATAGAAAGCCATTTTGTTTACGTACACATAAATCTTCAGCTAAATGGCTTAAAGGGGAAAAGAGATCTCTGTTTTCTCTTTGGGGAAAGAAGAGAAGTTGATCTGGTAGGATTAATTTGCATAAGTTAGCAATTCAGCTCTGAGTTACCTTGTGAAGAGTTTAATTCTGTCTTCCTTGGAATTTTTAATTTTATTTTATTTTATTTATTTTATTTTATGTGTTTGAGACTTGATTCACATTAAAGCTGGAGAAATCACAAATGCAGTGAGCAGAAGGTTATCAGCATTAGCACACAGGTGATGGGATCTCAGGATAGCTAGCTGGCCCAAATTCAATAAGACAAAGAGAGAGTGATGGACTGCAGTGTCTGGTTCAGTCCAGGAGTCCTGCTTTGCTGGGATCCATCCCGACAATTCAAGGTCAATGCATGGTATCAACTTTTGGATCCCGGTCAGGATCAAAGGACTAAATGACTATAAAGGTGATGAGGAGTTTCAGGCCCACAGTCCTTAAAGACACTAGGTGTTCAACTATCAATTAACCTAGCACAAACTACGTTCTTAAACACCTTTGAAGATTTAGGCTAATGCTGTTAAACTCCTCTGGCCATCACTTGATCTTGCTCCTGGTTGCAATAACAATTCTTGGCAGCAAGGTAACATGTATACTACATCTCTGCCCTGTCTAAGCCTCCAGGTTTGTGGATTAAATTGCTGTTAAAAATGCCTGTCAGGATCACCTCTTGGCATTCAGCTTTGAGAAGATGCGTACCCCAGCCAATCAAGATGTACCACCAAAAGTACTTCCTCTCTGAAAAGAAGGAGATGACCAACAGGGTGTGAAGATACAAGCCCTCCACCAGGAGCCAGAAGAAGTTGGCCATGACGCAGTACTGGAAGAAAACCATCATGGCTTTGCAGCCTACCTGGAAGAGAAGAAACAAAGAGTGGTGAACCGCAGCATGTTTCCATAGTAAACACACCGAATTACCAGCAAACCTTGCTCTGCGTGTATCTTTGGGATTGCTTTTTGCAGCACCTGAAGCCCTTATGGAATGAGCTCTATGGTAAAAAGCCAAAAGCCCTACCAAGCTTGCTTGGGGTGGACATGCTTGACACACGTGAACCCCTGCATGGGCAGTGCAGTGTGCATCCTTGAGAGAGCCAGCTCAGGTCTGGATGCAGTTGGACTGTGTGAGCTTGGAAACTCAAGCTTGGGAACCCTGCTGAGCAGTGACAAACTGATATGCTGGACCACGATCCCTACCAGCATGGTGCTGCTCTCTGTAGGTTTTGGATGTACATCTGTGGGAAGTTGGCTTAGTGGCAGAGTGGATGCCAGAAGGTCCTGCCCTGATGTGCAGCCGCCAGCCTATCTGCTCTGCCAGGCTGGGAGGGGTTCGTGGGGCTGAGCTGTGAAGCAAACCATTGCACTGGTTCAGAAGGACCCTCCAAAAAGGTGCTACTTTGAACTGAGACCAACTCAGTGACTGGTTTATGGTGTAGCCAACAAACACCTGGTTCAGCATGATGGAAGTGATCTGCACTGGAGAGTAAACAAGAATGGGTGGGAATTTCTTATGCTATTTTTGGCACTTAAGTCAGCATCTTGAGGAACAACCCTCTGAGTGACTTGGACATCACGGTCCTCCCCATCATTCTCAGTGGAGCTGCCTGCTAGTATTACCTGGCTCCCTAAACCCAAAGAAATGAAGTCTCTGACTTGAACAAACTGATTCCCCAGGATAAAAAAAAAAAACCAAAAAAACCCAACACCACCCCCCCTTCCCGCTCCTCCCCTCCCCCCCAAGTTAATTAGCCCTTGAAAGCGAAGTCCAATTGTAATCACACCATGGCCTGGTAGATATTGCAAAAACTGAAGGAGTTTGAGACAGGGGTTTGAAGAAAGCCAAGTCTACAAAGAATTGTGAATACTCAGTTAGGAAAAGAAGGATTGGGATACATATTTTTAAAATAAAAGGATAAGAAGGAGAAGCAGGGTAAACACTAATGAGCATGGACAGATTTGATTGCATTGGAAAGGGAGAGATTTGAAAACAGAAGGATTGTTTTTCTTCAGGAAATGAATAATTAAACACAATAACTTGCTGTGTGAAGATTTCACTGCAGCACAGGTAATGGGAACAGTCACCTTACAAAAGAAAAAAAAATGGGAAATTTCTCTCTGACAATTAGGGGCCAAACCCACTGCAAAACACCTGAAGGTAGAAATCAGCTGCCCAAAGAAGTATGTCAGCCCTGGCCATTGCCCCAGCATGTGTTGTATCCAGGTCCAGCTGCAGCTTTACAGGAGATCATTGATTGAATCATTACACACATCCACGCTGTCTAAGCACCCTTGAGATGTTGATTCGGCAATAGCCTTGCTGGCTTCGGTGAGTCTGCCTGGCTAATAGCCTGCACTTAGTGGGGCAAGGGCATGAGAATCTGGCTGCAAGCACTCTCTGGTTAGCGGCTCTTCCCTGGTGCTCTGCAATGCTGGTGCTCTTCCCTGCACGTGCAATATGTTGAATTTAGAGCAATAATTGATTTGCACCAGTGACAAGCTCACACTTCCCCCCCCGCTCCCCTCTCCTGCTGAAAACAGTTGCTATGAAACGCACTGGTTAAAAAGAGATGTGTGGAAAGTGTTTTCTCAATACCACATGTTTTGAAGAGGGACTTGTCCCTAGTGATCACTCAAAATTAATTCAACCTTCCCCTAGCACCCGCCAGTATGTCACACTGAGGACCCTCATGGGCTCCTGCTAATCAATTTATATGCACATCAGCTCCCTCCTGTGAGGCGGATAGCATAAGCAGAGACTTGCTGCAGGGCGGTGATGGGGGAAGGTGGAGACAGAGCAGGCAGGTAACTCCCAGGGAGGGAAGGTGACACAGAGCTGAGCTGACAAGGTCTGGGGATGCAGCAGCGTCTTCCCTATGGCATCCCTATGCTCTTTGTTTCTCCCTGCTATTGTGTGCATGTGGCTGTGTGACATTGGCACACCTCATTTCTTTTGCCCAAAGCCTGAGTGCCTGCTTGGTGTGTCTGCAGCCAGTGGGGATTTGCTGGTGTGAGTGTACTCAGCCCAACTGGGGCTACTGAATTCTTTTATGGTTTCACTCTATCAGTATTTGGCCCTAATTCAGCAGCTCACAGGTGAGACACGAGGTTTAAGGGAGCAGTTTTGACGCCTCTCAACCACACGCTCCTCAAACATAGATTTGCTTTGGGGATTGAACATTGGGGAATCCTTTCTGGATGGTCGCGTTGAAGCTATGGCAGAGGCATGAGGCTGGATCATGTCACAAGGAACTGCAATACTTTATGGGACCAGGAAAGGCTGCTCACAAAAAGTGCACGTGATTTCTGCCTAACAGAGACTCTCAGGCAGGGATCCCCAGCCTGAGCTTGCAGAGCTACTGCTGTCACGGAGAGGAAGCTGTGTTGAACTCGGGCTGTGGCAGCAGAAGGCCCAAATCTGGGTGCCCAAATCTATCACCTCTTCTCCCAGTATTGGCAACCATTGCTTTTGTGGTAGTCTCTGGCCCTACCGCCTTCCCTACCGTGGTGGTGGCTTGTTACAGATCTGAGGTGGATCATGCCCATGGGCAGCAGCTGCGTTTTGGCAAATTCTTCTCTGAGGGACCTGTAGCAGATCAATTCTTTGCCTCATGCTGAGGGATATTTGGCTATTTGAGCAGTTGCTACCACCTCAGGCATTTTTTGTTTTACCTGGAGAAAACATATTTTTATGCATCATTTTGAGCACACGGCGATAACGTATTGCAGCCAGGGATCTCCTGTGGCATGGGGATGACCCACACTGGAACAGAATTGGATGCACTGCCCTTTCTTACAAATTAAATCATGGTATTTTCTCGCTGCCTGGGCTTCTTGCTACTATTGCCTAAGCTGGGTAAGTTTAAACCAGACCAGATATTTCTATGAGAGGTGCAGTTTAAATGTTGACGGCAGTGTTGTTCTTCCACTGAATCCTCTTTGACAGCCAACTCAGCAACACATTCGGAAGACAGCCCTTCCTGGCTTTTGAGAGACCTTATTACATGCAGAACTTGCTAATGGGTCTCTACCTTCCTGATCGATCGGATTCAGCCTCAGCATGGCTGTTATAACACTGGGAAATAAATTCCATGTTTATATAAGATGATTTACCCTTTAGAATACAGACACTAGGCAGAGATAGTAATTAAAAAAGTCATAGAAGACTTTTATCATAAAGAGCAGGCCTCATGATGTGTCAGTGTTGAAAGACTAATGCAGGCTATGTTTAGAAAAGACATTTTCAGCAGGAAAAGCAGCATTACAGCACCGCTTTTTCTATTCTCTCCCCTTCCACTACCTCATTTACAACAGCTTATTTCCCTGTCTTTCTTCAGGGATCTTGCCCCGCTCATGTCCACACGAGATGCTGCAGTGAGATGGTCTTCCTTGGCTTTGTGGATGGCACATCTACCCAAGTGGCTCCTCTCTGCTTCCCCTCTTTGGGACTGCGTTAGACATGGGCCATTTGCTTTTCCCAAGAAGGTCCCCTCCCTTTCCACACGCGCTGCTGGTGACTAACCGCTGAGATGGATTCTGCCTCCAGCCAATGAGGCATAGAAACCTCTTTGACCCCAACAAACACTTTTGTGCTTCTCTTTAAATTCCTCATAGTCAATAAGAAAATTTTCTTATCAAAAGATAAGATAATCTTGATTAATTATTGTAGAAGTTTACTTGAGGATGAGACGAGGCATGTCTTAGACCTACTGTATGGGCCAACCCTCCCTTGCCTTAGTGTGCCCAACCATCTATGCTGTATGAATCTACATTTATGACTGTTTAACTAAGGACTATCTGAAAAGAAGACACTGTGCAAGGGTCAGCTGCTTAAAAGTAGACTGCTAGTGTCATTTTAGGCACTGCCAAGTATTGTGTTGGGCTTCCAGCTGTTGCTCCAGAGGGATGGGGATTTCCTGTGCAGACCTTTGGGGTATTCACAGGCATTTTAAGGGGTATGAGATGCCCATGCTCAGATGGCAGAAGTCTGCCCTTTATGAAGAATCCTTGCTGAGACAGCAAGACAGGGAAAAAATGTACATATTGCACTGTACTACTGTCCTGAAAGGCTGGTTTCCTCAAATGTAGACAAATCGTTGAAATAATCCCTATTATTTTATATTTTAGATGGATATTCACACCTGTACAAAGTGCACGCAAAATACTGTCTTACTGGTCATGGAGTGTTTAGCATTCCCTGAACACGGGTGTGAATGTCTACCTTCTGGATAGGAGCCAGGCCTATGGTTCTCAGAGAAATGACTTCATTTCAGAATGACGGGCATTATCTCTGAGACAGAGCTGCCCTGAGCATACACCTATGTATTGCCTAACAAAGCAATAGAGAAGGCAGAAGATACCACATTTGCTTTGAAAGAGAAGGGGACTTCTTGCAGTCATTTTAGGGCAAATATTTATGAGCTGTTGATACTTAGGAATGTACGCTGTCCTTTCAATAAGGAGATGGATGAGTAGGGACAAAGCACATGGTTGGTTAGAAGGCTGGTGTGATGTTGAAATGCGCTTAGTTGAGAACCTGGGCAAAATTTTTAGGGTGTCAATAGTGGGTGAAGTTCAGAGCTTTATGGAATGGTGAGAAAAGCAACAGAGCTACCCACAGCCAGCATGCAGCACAGCACACGTGCTACGGCTGCCATAAAAAAACACAGCCCACTTTGTCAGATCATAGGAAGAATGCACTCAAGATGCAACCAGACTTTCTGAGAAAGAGGCAAAGAGAAGGGACATAAGGGTGGGAAAACCAAGACTGAGCAATAACCCTACCAGGCTTCTTCCCTGTGCCTAGTAGCACTTTATACTTTCAAATAATGTTAGCCTTGAGAGAAACATCTTTCTCCT